CAAATCCCTCCTTATTCTTCTCTTCTGCAGACTAAATAATCCCAGTTCCCTCAGTCTCTCCTCATAAGTCATGTGCTCCAGCCCCCTAATAATTTTTGTTGCCCTCCGGTGGACTCTTTCCAATTTTTCCACATCCTTCTTGTAGCGTGGGGCCCAAAACTGGACACAGTACTCCAGATGAGGCCTCACCAATGTCGAATAGAGGGGAATGATTATGTCCCTCGATCTGCTGGCAATGCTCCTACTTATACCGTGCAAAATGCTGTTAGCTTTCTTGGCAACAGGGGCACACTTTTGACTCATATCCAGCTTCTCGCCCATTGTAACCCCCTAGGTCCTTTTCTGCAGAACTGCTGCCTAGGCATTTGGTCCCTAGTCTGTAGCAGTGCATGGGATTCTTCCGTCCTAAGTGCAGGATTCTGCACTTGTTCTTGTTGAACCTCATCAGATTTCTTTTGGCCCAATCCTCTAATTTGTCTAGGTCCCTCTGTATCCTATCCCTACCCTCCAGAGTATCTACCACTCCTCCCAGTTTAGTGTCATTTGCAAACTTGCTGAGGGTGCAATCCACGCCATCCTCCAGATCATCAATGAAGATACTGAACAAAACTGGCCCCAGGACCGACCCTTGGGGCACTCCGCTTGATACCGTTTGCCAACTAGACATAGAGCCAGTGATCACTACTCATTGAGCCCGATGATCTAGCCAGCTTTCTATCCACCTTATAGTCCATTCATCCAGCCCATACTTCTTTAACTTGTTGGCAAGAATACTGTGGGGAGACTGTATCAAAAGCTTTGCTAAAGTCAACGACTAACATGTCCACTGCTTTCCCCTCATCCACAGAGGCAGTTATCTTGTCATAGAAGGCAGTTAGGTTAGTCAAGAATGACTTGCCCTTGGTGAATCTTGCTAGCTGCAACTCCAAGTGTGATTTGGCCTTTCTGATTTCATTCCTGCATTCTTGAGCAATATTTTTATACTCCTCCCTGGTCATTTGTCCAATCTTATACTTCTTGTAAGTTTCTTTTTTGTATTTAAGATCAGCAAGGATTTCACTATTAAGCCAAGCTGGTCACCTGCCATGTTTACTATTCTTTCTACACATCAGGATGGTTTGTTCCTGCAACCTCAATAAGGCTTCTTTAAAATACAGCCAGCTCTCCTGGACTCCTTTCCCCGTCATATTAGCCTCCCAGGGGATCCTGCCCATCAGTTCCCTGAGGGAGTCAAAGTCTGCTTTTCAATCAAGCATCCCAACCCAGTGCCACTACAGCTCAAGACCTGGTATTTGGATAGACATCAGAGGTAGAGCGCACATGTTCAGTAGTGGTTCAATCCATCCTCAACCATAGCAGGAAGGATACTACCAGGAAGTATTATTCAGTCAAATGGAAGCATTTCTTCTCTTGATCATGATAACACCAGTCATCTCCAGAATCTGCTGGGATCCCAGCTATCCTCAATTACCTACTCACCATTAAGACATTGGGTTTTTCTGTCAGTTCCCTACAGGTCCATTGGGCAGCAATCAGCACCTATCAAGGATCACACTATCTTCACTCATCCTACAACAACTAGATTCTTTAACGGACTTCTTAGATCTTTTCCACTGGTGGAGTAGCCAACATCTCCATGGGACCTCAACCTTGCTCTTTCACTTCTCATCAAACCTCCTTTCAAACCATTAGCCATCTGCTCTGTTTGATCTCTCAGTGAAAGTTCCCTTTCTAGTCGCTATCAAATCAGCCAGAAGGCTGAATGAGCTGGGAGTGCTCATAGCAGATGAGCTGTATACCATTTTTCATAAAGAGAATGTCTCTCTTTGCTTCCACCCAAAATTCACTCCTGAAGTAATTTGGGAGTTTCATACGAATCAACCTGTCCACTTACTAGTATTTTTTCCAAAACTGCATACCCCTGATGAGAGAGGAGACTTCACTCCTTAGAATCATAGAATATCAGGGTTGGAAGGGACCTCAGGAGGTCATCTAGTCCAACTCCCTGCTCAAAGCAGGACCAATCCCTAGACAGATTTTTGCCCCAGATCCCTAAATGGCTCCCTCAAGGATTGAACTCAGAATCCTGGGTTTAGCAGGCCAATGCTCAAACCACTGAGCTATCTATTCCCCCCCCTCCCCCTCCCCCTCCCAAAAAAGTCATCAAGTCCAGCCCCCTGTCTTCACTAGCAGGACCAAGTACTGATTTTTGCCCCAGATCCCTAAGTGGCCCCCTCAAGGATTGAACTCACAAACCTGGGTTTAGCAGGCCAGTGCTCAAACCACTGAGCTATCCCTCCCCTTAGATGTAAACTGGGCACAGGCCATTTATCTACAGAGAACAAAAGTAATTAGAAAGAAACCTAGACTTTATTTCCATAGCAGAGATTGAGAGATCAAGCTCTATGTGCGAAGAGATTCTAAATGGATCTCAGGCTGCATCATCTTGCTCATATCCCCCACCTTGCCCAGAGGCAATGAAAGCCCACTTCACCAGAGTGTAAACAACCTCTGTGGTATCTTTGCAAGACATACCTTTACTAGATATACGGAGGGCAGCTAGCTGGAGCTCCTTACACAACTTCACAAGACACTACGCTTTGGTCCAGTCTTCTAATACAGATACAGCTGTGGGGACAACGGTATTACAGACCGCCATAACATTTGCATCCTCACACACACTTCCTGTTGACTGCTGCTTACTAATCTCTCATATGGAATACACATAGGGACCATGATTCGAAGAAGAAATGGCGGTTACTTACCTGTAACTGGAAGTTCTTTGAGATGTGTGGTCCCAATCTGTATTCCTCTACCTGCCCCCCGCCCCTCTGCTGTGGATCATAGCCAGCTTCATAGTAAGGAAAGGAACTGGAGAGGCATCAGTCCATACTGGCCTTTATACTCTTTGTTTGGAGCATGAGGAGAACAATCGCACATGTGCAGACCTTTGGACACTGCTTTCTAAAAATTTCCAGACTCAGGTGTATGGTGTGCATAGAATACAGATAGGGACCACACATCTTAGAGAACCTGCATTTCATAGTCTGTAATTGGACCTGGAGGTGAGCAAGAAAGAGGTAAACTCCTTGAAGCTTTTTGGGCCTGTCTCTTACTGGAAGAAAGTTTTTTCTTGGAATTTGTTTAATTAGCATGAACACTTCTTTTAATAAAACAGACAATTGAAGACTTAAATACATAAGCTGTTGATCACAAAGCATTTTGTATATGGAAAAGAATTGTAAATACCTCCTAAAATTCAGTAAAGGCAAAGGTGAGTTTGTAATAACCTAAAATTATAGTGAATTACAATGTTGTTGTTACCCTTTTTTGCACCAATATTGAGGTCTGTGCCTTAGTGTGCAGAGCTGGGAGTGGAGCCAGCTGTGCAAGTTTCATCTGATAAGTTGTATTATACCTGCCTTGTTGTTTGCTTACTCACTCGTTTGCAGCAGGTCTCCCAAGCGTTATTGAGAATTAATCAGTCCAAGATTTTCCAAAATGGATGCCCTAAATATAGGCCCCCAGATCCATATTTAAAACCCTAAATAAATGGCCCGACTTTGAAAGTGCCAGCTGCCCAGCAGTTCCCATTGACTTCACTGGTTGGGGGTGTAATTCTCGAAGAGTCTGGAGTCCTTCAGGCTCCATTCATCTGTGGCCCCTGAAATTCTGTTTGGTGTGGAGAGGAGGAGAGGGTGGCTCTAAATCTGAGCCCGAAGGAGATATAACTTTCACACAGCTGTGTGTGTAGTCTCACGCGACAGATCAAATCTGTTATTTAGATTGTGAGCCCTTCAGGAAGGGACAATCCTTTCATAGCATCTGGAAAGTGCCTATTGCATTGTGGGCACTGCCAGAAACAAAATATATAATTTAATGTTACTAATTGTGCCTGTGAATATGGTTGATATCTGGGAACACCAGCAATAATCACAGGGCTATTGTGGTGGATATGAGACCCTGGGCAACCCTGTGAGAATTATCCTCCTGAACACTGAAATTAAGGACCACATGTATGCATTTGTTTTATGTAATCCAAAGTTCATCGCTCAAGCGGTATGGAGTTCTAGGGTCCTTAGAAAACCTGGCCTGGCAGCTTTTTTGTTTCTTCTTATACCAGTACTGCTTCATGAAGGGGTTCCAAAAAGGGAACATTTTCACTCCTAAATGGTCAGTTCTTTGTAACATCCATCCAGCATTGTTTTGATGAGAGAATCAATAAAGCAAGTTAAGTTTGTTCTGCAGATAGGAGAACAGAATCACTCTTGGTGTGCTTGAGTTTTATGATTATGGAGTTTTGAATTCAATAAATGTTGTTAATTAGCACCCAGTGTTCATTTTGCAGACGGAAGGAAACTATAGGAAACATAGAACAGCCTCCTGTGACACCCTGTACCCAAGTGACACCCTGTAACCTCATATTCACCCCTTTTATAGGGTTATGATATTTTGTACAAAGCATGCCTCATGAGACGACATTTGAAAAGTCATACATTGCTGAACATCATTGTCTTATAAAATTTGTGCATTAATGTTGTATATGGAGTTATGAGATTTTGCTATATGTTTGTTACTGAAACATATTGAGAGTCCTGGAAAATGCCCACAGACTAGCTCCTTAGAGATACCAGAGGACTGTAAACCGAGGCCTTACATGTTGTTCTCCAAACAGCACATATGCAGACGGTATAAGCAAGAAATTTGCAATACACTTCACATCTCACGTATACCACAGACTGAGTGTCTGCACCCCAGCAGGAGGGTATTCCTTAAGGAGAGTAGGAGGGTATAAAATAAGAGACAATGGCTTCTTCATTACCTCTCCTTCCCCATCTCTCCTCATGGTAGCAAGAGCATTTGAAAGGTAGCATCATTGAACTGAGAGGGGTGGTCCCAATTGGAAGGAAAAAGCCTGTTGAATATACTTGGTTATGTTTAGGAATTAGATTGCAATGTTGTTTTATTTCCTTTTATAACCAATTCTGACTTTTATGCCTTTACCAGTTATAATCACTTAAAATCTATCTTTTTATAGTTAATAAACTTGTTTTAATATTTTATTTAAACCAGTGTGCTTTGACTGAAGTATTTGGGGGAATCTCTACTCAGGTTAACAAAGGCTGTTGCATATCCATTACCTTTTGATGGAGTGGAGGACTAGTTAATGGGAGTGTCTCCCTGTATAGAGTTCACGAGTGGCTGGGAGAGCATTCATGTAACTTTGCTGGATGTGCCTTCATATGCTGATGGCTGTGTGAGAGAAAAGCCTGGAAGGGGCTGCCTTTCACTCACAGAGCAGCGTAAGAGGTGTCCTGAGCTAGAGAGTTACGGGGTCACAGTGATTTCGCAGTTCAGATTGTACACTGGGGATGTCACACCTCCCTTCAGTGAAAAGCAGAGCCATGGCAGAGCGTGACAGTACAGTTATGACTTTCATTCTGTTGCTTTTGTCAGCAGGATCCCTTAAGTGTCAGATGAGGGCTTTGACCCCAGCATCAGCAAGCATTGGAACAGGTCTCGCTGTACACAGGGCTGCCTTATGTTCAGATACATTGCCAAACAGGCACTTTGGGAGGGAGAGCATTCAGAGGTTCATGGAGGTAGAGGATAGAGGGCACTACACTACTTTTTCCACATAACTTTAACAAAGGATGTCTTGTGTTAGTGCCGATGTTTTAATCCCGATTGATTTTGAAAGATGCTCCGGAAAGTGTTTTTAAAGTACTGGATTTGAGCCTTTTTTTTTTCTTGGTCCCTTTATTTTGGCAAGGAAAATCTGAAAAGCTTTGTTTTGTTTCAAGGGTTTTTGGGGAAGGTAATATCTGGAATATCAACTCTGGTGTTTCATGGATTTCCTGGAGGACTTCTGGGACATCTCAAGAGATGTACATTGTGAATTCTCAAACCTTAATTGAACTTCTGGGGATGTTGAATCTTTAACAAAAGCATCTTTTCTCCCAAGTCTTCATTTGGAGTTTAAATTAAATAGGCCTTAACAAAAACAAACTAGAATTTTGGGCAGATGGACTAGAAGCCTTTTTCCTCTCAGTTGTTCAGCTTCCAGTTGCTTGGTTCTTATGATGATGTTTCACTACTTCTCTAGTAACAATAGAGCCTTCCAGGACAGGTGAGATCTAAATATCTTATGTTTTAAAAAAGAAGCTTCTAGCTTAAAACCAAACCAAACGCAACATTAGTCTTCTGTATCCATCTTAAAGCAAAAAGAAGGTACAAGTGCATTGTTTTTCTTTGCAAGTCAATTTTGTGAGGGAAGGGAAAGAGTGGCACTGGAATTCTCTGAAAGTAGCTTCTTTCACAGGCCTCCCTACTCATACACTCTTCCCCTTATGACAATACGTTTCAATATATAATTGAGACAGTTCATACAAACCAATGGTATAGTAACTGACAGTTGGAGCATATAAACTGTAGAGGAGGAGGTGCTTTTTGAAGCAAGGGGTGTGGGTTTAAATAAAACAACTTCTCATTAGGCCCTTGGAAATGCACACAAGGGCCTTGTGGCCAAAGTGTTGCTCTATGGGAGTATTTCCACTTCCCATAGCGCCGTAAATTGTTCTCTGGAGGAATGTTATTCCTGTTGAAAGAATAGTGAGATCTCTGTGGCATGTCATCAGAATGTGACTGTATGTAAAGGTGGTCTGCAAATCAATCTGACAAAAATGCCATCAGGTGTTTGTGCTGAATGCCCTCATTCTCCAGGCTAAACAGAAGAGGGCATTCAGTACATAACCAGAACACTTACTATCTTTTTTTCATAGGTTCCATGATGTCCAGCCCCACTAGGGCTTCCGGCTCCCGCTCCGATGTAACGCCCCAGCATGTACCATGCTGGTGATGTCACATCACCCAGGGATCCTGCTGGAGCATGGAGCCGGCCTACAAGGGGTCAGGTAAGTTAATTTTTTAAAAAGTACAGTGCACAGTTTTGCAAAGTTTTATTGTTTTTGGTTTGTTTGTTTTTTGTTTAATTTAAATTTCTTCTTAGGTCATGGGACCTAAAACGAAAGCTTTTCAGATGATTAATATTCTGAATACCCCCGTTCTTGTAGCCTGGCTAATAGGGGCATTCAGTATATTTTATTGTTAAAGTTGATGCAACTTTGCCGAATTGATTTGCAGCTCACCTTTAACTTACACAAAGGTGCACATTTTTATAAAATATGTGTTTGCCATATCATGAACCACTTTATTCTGCTTTCTTTGTCTTACCACATGCTGTGATTTTTATTCCAAAATATTCCTGGTTTCTAAAACATTGATTTGGCTGCAGAAGCTTCTGACCTAGTATCATGAATAAGAACATAGCAATTGTCAGTCTGGATCAGACCAGTCAGTGATCCAGCTAGTCCAGTGTCTTTCTCTAGCAGTAGCTTTTACCAGATGGTTCTAAGGAAGGTGTGAGAAACTCTGCAGTGTAGGCAGTTCTGGCAAGTTTTTCCTAACCTTCCCAATTAGCAATTGACTCGTCCTGAAATGAGGTTTTAGATCCTTTCCAAAACTAATCTGTATGTTAAATATTTACTATAACAACTGTGGACATTCTTGTTACTGTAATAAATGTCTAATCTTTTTTAATTTTGTCAAGCTCTTGGCCTCCATAGTGTCCTTTGACGATGAGTTCCACAGGCTAATTGTCCATTGTGCTTAGAATCATAGAATATCAGGGTTGGAAGGGACCTCAGGAAGTCATCTAGTCCAACCTTGCTCAAAGCAGGACCAATCCCCAGACAGATTTTTGCCCCAAATCCCTAAATGGCCCCCTCAAGGATTGAACTCACAACCCTGGGTTTAGCAGGCCAATGCTCAAACCACTGAGCTATCCCTCCCCCTTCCTGTGATTAGTTTTGAATTTGCCACTTTTCAATTTCACTGATTGTTCTCTTGCTCAGGTATCATGAGAGAGGGTGAATAAAAGCTCCCAACCTTCCTCTCTAGATCACGCATTATTTTGTTTACTTTTATTGTATCCTCCTATAGGGTAACAATCCTGGTCTTTGCAATCTCTTCATAGGAGACTTTATTCGGGCTCCAGTCAGTCTCATTACCCTTCTCTGCCCCCTCTAATTCTGCAGTATCCTTTGTGAGATACAGTAATGCTATTTTCCTTATTATTCTTTATTCCATTCCATAAAACTCTTGGGGTTTTTAGCCATTGCTGCACATTGAGCTGTCTACAGTGATACAGTGGGTTGATGTAGTTAATTTAGAACCTTTTAAGATGTATGAACAATTCATATTATTCTCTCCAATGTTTGTGTATTGCATTTGTCAAAATGGGATATAAGTATTGCTGACATGTCTGTGGTTCCTAGTAGGAGCAGGTGGAGCTGCTCCTGAGTGGCTCTACTCATTTATTCCAGCGGGTAGTTTTGGGCAGTTGTTTTTAAGGCTCTTTATTGCAAAGTACTGTGAAGTTACAGCTTGTTGCCCCTCTGGTATAGAAGTGTGCTGGGATGGTTATTAAAGTGATATGGGTTGCAGTGCTTTAGTTTGAGTATGATGCTTAGCTCTGTGTCCCCATTACTTCTGAACCTGCTTGTGCAGTTGAACAAAGGACCCAAGGTCTGTATGAGATTGAAGTCTGGAAGAGGGCTGGCCTTCTGAGGCTCAGTTTGGATAAGGCTGAGGTAAATGTTGATTTTTTTGTGTGGGGGCGAGGGAGCAACCAGAAGGATTTGTCAAGGAATATATGCTGTTTGTTATGTGGCTAGATGAAGGAGATGGTGTGGTTAACTTTTTTCACAAGGGGCAAAACTTTTATCACACTAGAGACGTATTTTCCTAATGGTGCATTTTAACATAAACAGTATCTGTAGTCACCACAGCAGTGTTCTGTGGGAGGCAAGGGAGACAGCAGTGATGAGCTGGGCTCTGGGCAAAGTGGCAGGGATAGCAGTCAGCGCAATCCTCAGTGCGTGGGAGGGGTCCATGAGAGAATCTCTCTGGTAAGGTGTGGTCCATAACATGGCAAAAGTTTGAGAACCCCTCTTGTCCTTCCCAAGTGTGAATCTTTTGTAGAACCCTTGCTGGAGTTAATTAGTATTGCTTCTGCCCACTGTGCTGTAGGGGTAGAACTCACCCATTTCTTTCTTTCAAACAGATATGAAGTTTGCAAGTCAAGTGAGGATGGCGCTGAGTGCATCACTCTTTCTGTATACTTCAGAGAAAAGAGAATAAGACAGTCCAGCACTTCTTCGGGGACTGTTCTTTGTGGGCAGCCACTGCTAATCTCTGTGCCCAAACACAAGCTCACTCTGGATCACTTGTACAATGTTGTTTTGGAACAGATTGGGTAAGTACAGGCATGGTAGTGCGGATGTTTATACAAAATTCTAGTAGTCGCTCATGCGGTTATACTGTAGTGAGTCTGTCTCAACCCCTCTGAGGGCAGGAGGCTGCCTAGTTTCTGGCCCAGAGCTCCACACCTTTTCCCTGTGACCATGCTCCCTCTGATGGGCATGATTTCTGCAGTGGTTATTTCTTAATAACTAAGCTGTATGTAAACCCTTGTTTTCTCTGGCTGACAGGCCACCATTAGCCATTCAGAGTGAAGGGACTTGCATGATCACTTTATGATAATTAAGGCAACTCTCTACTCCAATTGATTGCTATAATCTCTCTGCTCTGATTGGCTCCTCTACTTTAATTTTCTAGTTGTTTTCTTTCAACAAGGATGTTGCCACAATGTCTGCCTCCTTCAGCTGAAGGCAAAAGACTTCATGAAAGAGAAGGGTAAAAAAACCAAAAATCAAAAGAAATGGGGCTGAGACTGAAAGACTTACCCCCACCTTCCTTCTTCCACACCCTCCCCAGAGGAAAAGAAGGAAGAAAAATAAGTGTGTGTGTGTGTGTGTGTGTGTGTGTGTGTGTGTGTGTA